GCTAAATCCTTGATTAAAAATTTGAACCAAATTTCTTGACGTGGTTACTGACAGCAAAATAGAAAGTGTATCTGCTATTTTTCTTATTTATTCAATTTTCAGCAATAGAAATCAGATCGGTCTTTTCTCACGCAAAGCTTATGATTAGTTGATTACAACGATTGAAAAAAAAATTGGGGTGCCCATGCTCGTTGGTGAGCTAGAGCCATTTTTCAACTGACAGAACTCAATATCAAGGCAAATCCGTCATGTTTTCAATATGCGCGTGCACAAGCGCGCGCCCATGACGCCATAAATTATGCGCAGTAAGGATGCGCAATGCAAATGTGAGGAATGACCTTAAATCGAGCTACGATTGGTTTACTGGATTGACGGTTCGTGTTCTTTGTAATTGGCGAGAGTGATTACTTTGGGTCTAGTTTAACGACACTCAATTGAAAACCGCTCTAATTGAAAAATTGAACTTAAACCCTAGTTGTACTTTATTGTGACAATAATTTTGCACTAAACGTCTAGTCTAGTTAATACTCCTGGTTTTATACTTATTGCTATGTGACTGAAGAGCGTTGTACTTACGCCACAGTTTCATTGAGTCAACTCACATGGCTTGCGTCATTAATTTAATTGTCTTTTCAATCTCGATACACATTCTTCCCTCGCTGAACTTGTTTACTGGGCCTGCAATGGAGAAGTATCAACATAACTACAGACGAACCTCTCCAAAACGGCTACCTCGGAATCGACAGTGCCCGTTGTAGCGAGGTGACCGTTATGGGTAAGTAGGGATGTAATATGACACTCCTAGTTATCAATGAAACAGAAACCAAACAGAAACAGTGACCAAAGACGCCGGATACAGATCATGTTTCATGATCTTTTACAATAAAAAGATGGGGTTTTTATACACCGTTCTTTAGTCCTTGATTAACTGACCATTGTCCAGAGGTTATTATGGCACTTGGGACACGGTTTACTGGCTGTTGCCGTTGTGGAGAGCTGGCCGTTGTAGAGAGGTTAGAATAAGAGTACGTAACTGTATGGACTGTCCGGTGGAACAAAATAAAAAAGTTGGCTTTGGAGAGGTGGCTATAGGCCCTTTGCAGCTAAGCCATCACGTGACCTACTTTTCATAAAATT